AAAACTGGATGCAGTATTCTAGGTGTGGTCTTACTAAGGCTTTATAGAGTGGTATTAGTACTTCACTAGATCTTCGTTGTATCCCTCTGTTAATGCAATTTAGGATTGGCTTTGGCTAGACAAATAGAAAAAGGGCTCTGTTATACAAAGGGAAATATATCTAACTTTCCTCTATATTGGCAATCGGGAATCCTCTTCACTATGCAGAATGATAATTTGATATCATGATAAATTTTATGTTAAGCATTCAGTAAATGCCAAAGTAGGCGGTAACCTCTTTTAACATTTGTTTAAAAGCTAAGTCAGCATTTATATATGACATTCAGCATTGTTTGAACTGATGGTAGTAGGGCTATGCAATACTCAGATTTGAGGGCACAGAAGTGCTTAGGAACAACCATCCTCTTAGAGCAGCTGCAGCTGTCCTGGGACTGCAGCATGACTCACCTCCACCTCCAGTTGTAGATGCCCAAGCATGTACTCATTTCGTGGAAGAGTAGTTGCAAGTTAGCTCATGCTTTTGCTTGTAATGATGCCAGATATAGGCCAAGATAAACTCTGAGTATTTTTGCAAAGCATTTGCAAACCAGCATAAGCAGTTTAATCAAGGAACTGACTGAAGATAATCTTGACACTGTCCTTGAGGTGTGGCAGCACAATGGGCTGAACCAGAATTGATGCAATCTTGTAGTGGTGAAATCATATGATGATGAAAAGCAGTAGTTTCTAGGTGATAATGAGCCCTGTAGATATGGGGCAAAAGAGAACACTGTCTGCAATAAGACAGCTGGACCCATGGCAGCTATTCATATACTCATGCATTCATCCTTTCCAGTCCCAGATATCCAGATTTCACTCCAGGCTTAGCAATAAATCTTAACTTGGTAGTACAGTGGTCTAAAGCACCCTGTTATTAAGAACAGCTGCCTGCAATTACTGCAAGTTCGAATCTCGCCAAGGCTCAAGGTTGACTCAGCCTTCCATCCTTTCTAAGGTAGGTAAATTGAGGACCCAGTTGTGGGGGCAATAAGCTGACTTTGTATAAATATACAAAAGAATGAAGGCTATTGCTTAGCGCATTGTAAGCCGCCCTGAGTCTCCGGAGAAGGGCGGCATATAAATCAAATTAAAAAAAAAACTTTCCATTGTTTCATCCTGTATTCAAGAAATGTGCTTACAACAGAAGCTTCAGAGACATGATTTAGCTAAATAATTGGCTTTAATGTAGAAAAGATAAAAGCTCTGTACATGCAGAACACAAAAATCAAGCTCTGTATATATATATATATCTGCTCCAAGGTTTAAATTGCAGGCCTTTTCCTCCTACGTTGGCTTCTTTTCCTAGCCTTGAGACATCTACTCAATGTTTATGTAACCGTTTTTTCGGGTCACAGCACTGCTACTTCCTGCCTCACCAGCTTCAGCCATTGCACAGATGGGGCATCTGTCAACATAGATGAAAAGTCTTCTGTCCCTTTGCTGAAGTCCTAGAGTGGTCATTCTAGGAGAAGGATACTTTTGTGGATGATTAAAGATAGTCCCAAATTGAAAGAGGCAAAACCAAGGAAATATATGTAGTTTAAAAGCAAACAGAAGCCATCCAGAGTTGTTGAGTCAGATGCCCTCAGAGTTTAAACAAATAAAACAATATATTTTCTCAGAAACTCAGAACAAAACTAGCAGTTCTTTGATCTAATTGCAGATGGTAGTGATCCAATTACGATGAATTTATATAAATTTAATATAATGTGAAAGAAGGCATTGTACATAACACCATAATAGAGATGTATTTTTTTTAAAATTTGGGGATTTTTTCCCTTCTTCTTTTTGTAAATCTTGTATTGTTTTGATATAATGATATTTGTACTGTATGAATTGAAATTATTAACGTTCTATTATTTCAATAACTATTGAAAATACAGAGAAACATTTTATCAATATTAATTTAATAAAAAGAAAAACAAAGAACTAAAAAAACAAAAATAAATAAAAAGGAACTTTCTCACTTTTTGTACGCTGCTGATTTGCAATATTATAGATATTTAAACCACTTTAGAAGATAGACTGTGATTATATTTGCCATGCTGTATGATGTATGTATGGGAAGCACTCTTGCTTAAATTTGCTTAAAGTTCTATTTATTAAGTTATTGATAGGTATTTATAGGCAATTCCAACAATTCACAAATGCTTTTAACTAATGAAATATTTGGTACCAATAATATATTGTTAATATAAAATAATGCAAATTAAAAAGAACCTAATTTATATTTCATTTATATTATATTTCAACAAATCTATCTCCAATTCATTTCATATTCCCAATTTCAAAACATCTACTCCCCCCAGCAGTACAAAGGGTTCTGCTGCATGTTAAAATAAACTCTAATTATGGATATCAATTCTTATATTTCTGGACAAAAAGAAGAGGAAAATGTTTTGTGGGCAAAAACAAGTTCCCCCCAGTAGCAAGGACTGATTTCTCAAGTACTTCTATGAATGGACCTATTCTATCAGTTAAATTGAACATTTAAAATCTATTGCAATGTGCTGATGATCAAAGAAAACTCCCACTGACAAAACATTTATTCTTTGAAAGATCATCATGAATGCATCTCCTGACTGGAGGGATGAACATAAATTGTTTATGACAATGTCATCAGACCTGAACTTTCTTCCCACGGGAGACTGCTCTGAATTTTAATATGACTCATGAATTAATTGATTAATTATACCACTTAATTTTATCAGCTCCAAGTCTCTTTGCTCTTAAAGTTCAGGAGCAGGACTCACGAGAATTGGATTTTGATTTGATTTTCTAGCTTGGTATCTTCCGGTTATATCAGATGGTCTACAATACCGAATTTAAAAATAAAAGCATATATGGAGAATGCTAGGTTGAGGGAAACTACTTTTTTTTGCCATCTTTCTTCCTCCACTGACAAGAGATCAGTAATAGCAAGTATGTATGTCCTTGAGAGGAATTTATCAGCACATACAGAAGTCTGATCAGATCAAGCATCTGCTTTCTTGAATGCATCCAGGTTATGGATGGCAGGAGTTCTTTTTACAGTTGTCTTCTATTATTGAGCATTCAGTGCTATGTTGTCTCTGTGTATTTATATTATTTTGTGAGTCGGCTGCTTACACTGATTCAAGAAGATCCTGTCTAATTGCCTCATAAAGCTTAAACCTATTCTTTGCTTTGAATCTTGCAAAGTTAGAGACCTGGTTTACACAAGCTAGATTATGGTTTAGATCTCCTGAGAAGGTTGCACTGAGTTACAGTTTTCTCTACTGGAAGGCAGGTACCAGACAGAATAAACTGTGACTGAGTTCCTACACTGCATTAAGCCAGGGGTGGGTTCTACTTACCTTTACTATCAGTTCACAACGGGGCCGTGCACGCTCTTCTGCACATGCACAGAAGCGTTCAGATGACGTTGGGGTCGGTGGGTGGAGCCTCCTGCTGATTTTACTACCAGTTCTACAGAACCAGTGTGAACCAGGGACAACCCACCACTGCATTAAGCCATAGTTTGCCTAATCAAACTATTATATTGAAGCTGAAATTCACTTAAACCATAAGCAAGCAAACCTCGTTATAGCTCAGCATAATATGTGAATTCAGCCAGTATGTATGTAGGATCACTTATTTTAAAACTAAAATACTCTGCACTAATCTTAAGAAAGAAATGCTGGCTTCCAGTCTTTATACCTTCTCACTAGCAACAGCAAAGAGGGTCAGGACAGGATCAATGGTTATTGCAGCTGGCAACCAAAGTTCCACTCTTTTTCTATGTGCTTTAGCAATAGCATTTAGACTCATATACTGCTTCACGGTGCTTTACAGCCCTCTCTAAGTGGTTTACAGAGTCAGCATATTGCCCCAACAATCTGGGTCCTCATTTTATCAACCTCGGAAGGATGGAAGGCAGTCAAACTTGAGCCTGGTGAGATTCGATCTGCCAAACTGCTGACAGCTGGCAGTCAGCAGAAGTAGCCTGCAGTACTGCAATCTAACTACTGCACCACTGCAGCTCTTTAGTCTCCTCCCTTTTTTCTCCTCTCCTCTCCTCCCCTCTCCTCTGATTTAATAGAATAAATTCTGTGAAGTCATATCCAGAATTAGAAGAAACCAGTAATATTTATTGAAATCTTCTAATCCTGATTAGAATCCTGGATTTAGATAGTACAAAGCAAAGAAGCCCACACACACACACACACACACACACACACACACACAAATATGTACCCCGTACTATATCAAAAAGCTCTGTTTCCTGTTAGAGAGTCAACATTCTGATTTATAGATCCCATTTTGTGTATTTATTTATAGATGTATATTCAAATACATCTCTGAGGAGGCTCATAGTACAAAATTAACACATAAACACGGTTAATTTTTAAAGTACTTGTGAATTATGGAGGAAATTGTTCATTCTCTACAGCAGGTGGATCTTCAGATTCTGCTGAACAAATTTAGGCATCCAGCCCAGCCAGTATGATCAAGAATAAAATATGATGGGAATAAACGGAAAAAATATTTCTGATCTCCTGCTACTTTTTAAGTCCTAAAGATTAAGGGGAGCATTTTAATTGAACCTGAGGATTTGGGAAGGGTGGTTTTTGTAAAACTTATGGAATGCCCATGTTCATATTTAAGGATTCCCAAAGGGTATCCACTATTGAATCTATAGCCTGATGCTGTCATCATATCCTAAAGATGCAGCCTGAGATATACAGCACTGGATACTAGTCTTTTGTTTAGTCTCTCTAGCCCCGGTGAAGTGACAACCTATAATACTATTTGCAGAGTGATACTTCCCCCAATACTTTCTTACCATTAAATTCTCAGGATAGACTAAGGAAGAAGAAATGACATACTAGAGGGATTTGGTGCCATTCTGTCAGCATGACCAGCTTTAACTCCTGTATCCTTCATTTACTCTATTTGTTTTAAACGTATATAATAGTTTCAGTATCTTTCATCTTTTGCAGGATGGTGGAATATTCCCTGGATCTTCAAAATATTAACTTGTCTGCAATTCGCACTGTTCGTGTTCTGAGGCCCCTCAAAGCCATTAACCGAGTGCCTAGTAAGTCTATCTGCCTCCTTCCTTTCTTGACGGGGATGGGAAAATGCACGTCCATGCCTTTTTCACGATAGGTTGGCACTGTATGAGTGATTTAGTATTGGGGTAATCCAGGGGCCACATGAATTCACCAGGATCCCTCTTGTGGTCTCCAGAAGGGAGGGGGGCAACCCCATGGGTCCCATTTTGCATTTTGAAGAGTTTGGAAAGCCTTAAGCTTTGTACATATTTAATGCATTAATTTTACTTCTTAAAAGTTTAGCTCCCAGCCCTATCCACTCTGGGAAAGCTTCCCCAATATGACAGCTAAAGTCTGGTGCAGTCCTCAGGCCAACTGAAGTTTCATTTCCCTAATGCATCTGGTCCCTGCCAGCCATGGCTGGTTAAATGTGTCACCATGAAAACAGACCAAACTCCCTTGGGAGACATTATAGCCTTTTCTAATAAAGCTTTTGACAGAAGCATTTCCAAAAATAAATCTCATGTTCAGGTCATAAAAAAGTGTGGCCTTTTAATATTAATTTCATAATAGTGAGAAGTTAAAAAAGAAGTTCTTGTATTGGGACAAGAGCTATTTCACTTGTCCTTAAATGATCTCCTGTTGGAAGTATGTGATGAAGAGTTCAGTGGTAGATTACAGTACATCAGGTTTTTTGAAGAACAGTAAAAACTGAAAGCAGATCACCAGAACGAAACAACTGTGGAAAGATGAACTGAATTGGCAATAAAATGGTAAAATTAGGTTGGTTCATGAATACAATCATAAATCCTCAGCTACATGTTGAAGGCTCTTGTGGTGATAAACCAGAAGAAGAGACATGAAATTACAGTGAATAATTAGAGCTTGTCTTTTGTAAATGAGAAATGGTCTCTTTTCATCATACTTTGGCTTTCTTTTATGTTGTTTACATTAGGATATCAGGACCATTTTATTCCTTTAAATGGGATTTTGTTACAGCTAAGGGTTTAGATGTGGAATGTTGAGTTAATTTATTTAGAACTCTGAGCTTTTTACTGATATTGGAGAAGTTACTTATTTGATTTGCCTATTTTTAAGAGATGTTTCAGAAAGCTTTAGAAAGTTGGCATTATTCTTCAAATAACACAGCCATTCTTGCAAGACCTGGGGAAGATCTTGGAAGTTTTCTGAAGGCTTTCTGAACCATTGCAACAACAGGCTGCATGATTTAGTGACTGAATGGCACATGTGTCTGGAATTGAGATGGCAGTAGGGAATGTTGGGATTGCTAAGGACTCTGGTGATGTGATGTCTTGATTTATGACCACATCATTTAGCAACAGAAATCCTGGTCCCAATTGTGGTGGTAAATTGAGGATTACCTCTCTATTATATTGGTTTGATCCTCTGTAATATGTTTATAAGTTCACATATAAATAGATCATGTAAAGATATTTGGGAAAGAATCATAACTCATAATTATTCTTGGCAGATCAAGACTCTACATTCGGAGAAATGTGGAATTAGCATTCAGTATGAATATGTAAATACATATTCAAACTAGATGCATGTCAGAGTGCATGCAAGTGAACTTCTCTAGGATTTGCATAATAGGGTATGATCTCCGAGTAGTTCTTCTCCATAGCCGTTACTCAATGCAATTTGTTTAGCAGGCAAACCCAGAAAAGGGTCTCCAAATTGGGCTGTGTGAGTAATAATTCTCAAGTACCCCACCTTTAAGTTCTGAGGGGTTTTGCAGCTAAAGTCATTTATTTAAATTTATCATAATAGCATTCATTGTAGCATTTATAGTAACTATTTTATGAAGTGCATGAAATGAACTGGAAAGTTGCTATCTGATTTTAGTTAAGCCAAAATAGTTACAGCATGGTTTATTAAAGGATAAAAATATGGACAGCACACAATCCATTCAAAGTCATTTATCTTCTAATTGGCTGTTGTCTTTCAAGGACTTTATGAGGGAAGAGTTGTTTTTTGGGTAGTTTCTCATCCCTTAAAGCTCTGGAGAGATGTTGTCTTGACAACATCCATTCAAAAATTGATGCATATACAAAAATACAGACAGAAAATATTCCAGACAACTACCATCACCACCTCCTCCACCTCCTCCCCCCGCTCCTCCTCCTCCTCCTCCTCCTTAGGATATAACAATATAAACTATTTATCAGTTACAGTATGTCAATGCTGTATCTGCAAATGCATGCAAGATGTACTGCTGTGTTTTCATGTTGTATGAGTGTTTATATCTAGCTATATATACATGTGCTTTCCTGTTGTACATGTGTATATATCCAGTATGTTCTTGTATAAATGAGACTGGCATTAGTACAGTTAACTTCCTCAACTAGGTGGACTCCCAAGTGTATTTAGCACCCAGATGTACAACTCCCAGAACTTCCAGATTTTGACCATATTAACTAGGAGTTATGGGAATTGCAGCAAATAGATCTAGACAGCATTGCATTCAGTAAAGTTGATATTTAATAATATAATCTTATTAAACTTATCAGAGCATAAAATACACATTATAATGAAAATAGTGGGAAAATGGAAAAGGGGAAAGATAGAACTGTAGATTGAAGGGGAAAAGAGAAGTAAAGGGTTAATGTCTGACTCTTCAGTGCTGTAGAATGAGTATAATAATGTTACAGCCTCAACTTTCTACTTTGCATACTCAATATATACTAGCCACTTCTGTAACAAAAAAAATCCCTCGTCTAACCATTAAATTTCAAAGTCAAAGTTAAGAGTTTTTTTTTTTCATGGGAAATAATTGTGAAGCAGCCTTAAAGCAAAACTAATATGCTTAAAAGCATGCAACTGAAAGGGCCATTCCATGGAATTTGGAAAAACTAAATACAATAAGCAAGCAAACAATGAGGGACATGACTTCTGGTATCTTGCACGACCCCTTGACATCCTATGATCTAAAAACATTTTAGACTCTCCCTAGAAATAAATGTTAGATAATAGCCATAGTTTTCTTTTCCTTTTCCTTTTGTTCCACTGAGTGCCACTCTAGGTCTTTGTGTATGAGAGATTAATATGAGTCAGGTTTCGCAGGGAAATTGAACCATTAGGATTTCCTGGGCCACAATGTAAAAAGATTGATGCTTTCATTTTGTAGAGCTGCTTGCGTATCTAAACAAAATATTTAGAATAGAATAACGGAGTTGGATGGGATCTTGTAGGTCATCTAGTCCAACCCCTTACTTAAGCAGGAGACCCTATACCAGGGTCAGCATGTTCTGACAGGTTCTGGAGAACCGGTAGCGGAAATTTTGAGTAGATCAGAGAACTGGCTGGCCCCAAAGTGGGGTGGGAATGGAGATTTTGCAATATCCTTCCCCCAGGAGTGGGGAGGGAATGGGGATTTTGCAGCATCCTTCCCCTGGAGTGGAGAGGGAATGGGGATTTTGCAGTATCCTTCCCCTGGAGTGGGGTGGGAACGGAGATTTTGCAGTATCCTTCCCCTGGAGTGGGGTGGGAACGGAGATTTTGCAGTATCCTTCCCCTGGAGTGGGGTGGGAATGGAGATTTTGCAATACCCTTCCCCCAAGAGTGGGGTGGGAATGGAGATTTTGCAATATCCTTCCCCTGGAGTGGGGTGGGAATGGGGATTTTGCAGTATCCTTCCTTTGCCATGCCCACCAAGCCACGCCCACCAAGCCACACCACACCTACCAAGCCATGCCCACAGAACTGGTAGTAAAAAAAAATTGAAACCCACCAGTGCTCTATACCATTTTATAATGTTCTTTCCACATTATATACAGGCCAAGGAATACAGATACATTTTATTAAAATGATTATGGAAGGAAGAATGTGGGAGAAGTTTATAAAACAGAAAGTATTCTCTCTGCTCCTTTTAAGTACTGCCTTTCTTCACTGCACAGAATTTTTGCAGACTATACAGAACTATAACTATTGCACAGTGGGGATTTTACTGTGTTACTTATCAACTCTGATCAAATAATGATAGTAGTATTTGCATAACTATGCATCACACAGACATTAGCAAGTTAATATTAACTATTATTTGCATATCAGGCAGAAAAGCAGGAGATTTTTTTTTTCCATGCTGAATGGCAAACTGCACGCTTTCATTCTACACTTCATTAGTTTTTATTTGAAAAATAACTTTTTAACTTTGAAGAGATCAATTTTGCCCTAGATTTCTTTAATTCCGTCTTTATTATTTTATATGAACTCAAGGTGGCAAGCATGCATAATACTTCTTCATCCTCCTGTGGAATGCGGAATTTCAGAAAAATGGGAATACCAGGACATCTTATTTCCTCATGAGAAACTTATATGGATAGTCCTTGACTTATGACCACAATTGAGCCCAAGATTTCTGTTGTTAAGTGAGACATTTGTTAATTGAGTTTTGCCCCATTTGACAAACTTTCTTGCCTCAGTTGTTAAGTGAATCACTATAGTTGATAAGATAGCGACCTGTTGGTTAAGTGAATTTTGCTTCCCCATTGACTGTGCCTGTCAGAAGGTCGCAAAAGTGATCACATGACCTTGGGATACAGCAACGGTCATAAATAAGATTCAGTTGCCAAGCATCTGAATGAGGATGCTGCAAAGGTCCTAACTGTGAAAAACGGTAGTGGGATTCAGCCAGTTTGCACCACTTAGGGAGAACCGGTTGTTAACTTTCTGAGCAGTTTGGTGAACTGGTTGTTGGAAGAAATCATTAGGGCAGAGAACCGGTTGTTAAATTATTTGAATCCCACCACTGGTCATAAGTCACTTTTTTCAGTGCCATTGTAACTATGAAAAGTCATTAAATGAACTGTTGTAAGTTGAAGACTATCTGTACACAGGCCAGAAAGCCACAATCTGGACAGAACATGGTGAAACAGGGACTCCAGATTGACAAAGGAGTGTCACAAGGCTGCATTCTCACCTTTTATTTATTCAATCTATCTGTGGAAAATATATAAAGGGAAGCTTGATTGAAAGCTTAAAATTGGAGGAAGGCACCTCACTAACCTGCACCATGCTGATCACA